ATCTTCGACTTTGTTTCATGTAGTTATAAGTACCATTATTAAAAACATGCTAGTATATAATACAACATGTGCTATTAAACTCCTATGGTTCCTCATCCCTAGACTCATTACTCATAGTAGTAACGTTTCAGTGATCAACATCAATGGCAGATTATGCGTTTGGTTGTGCTTCCTCAATGAAAGGTGAGTATTGAATTGAAGTAATCTGCTTTCTTTCTTTGTGGTCTTGAATGTTTTCTTGCTTGAATGTTTATTAGTGATTTGCATATGGTTTCTTTGTGGTCTTGATTCCATTTAACATTATTATCAATCACTAATTGAACAATGTGGAAGCTTCTACTCGGTAGATGTTGAATTCAAGTAATGTGGTTTCTTTCTTTATGTGCAGTATAGTGGATTTTGATGAGTAGCAGAGCCCTTCTATACAACCTTGGGAATGAGTCTAAGGATCATTTGTTGTTCGATTGCGCTTTCTTCTTCGCAATCTGGTAATCATTTGCTCCAAAACTACGATTCAACCTTCCATCATCGGGATGGAATGCAACTAAAGAAGCTCTCATCTTATATACGTGTACTAAGAACCTACATTTTCTCACACTTCTTGCTTAGCAATCCTCGATCTATGAAAGCTAAAGAGAAAGAAACTCTCGGCTTCACCGTGACATCAACTGTAGCCGTGACTTCATACTTTTTCAGATTGATTACCTAATTAGAAACCGAATTGCATCATTCACCACCAAAATCTTCATACATCTAGCTGTATCTTCAACTATGGTTCTCTCTTCCAAACCAGATCTGATGATCTAGTTTCTCTTGTTTCATTGAAAAGATTTGTTGGTTCTCTTTCACGGCTTTCAATTTGGTTATTATCCCTCAGCGAGTTTTCTTGGAATTTTATGGGCTCCATAGATTTTATGACAATGTTCTATAATGAGTTTTCTAAAATTGAGTTTAACTTCTAAAGTCGGCTATTGTAATTTTTTGTTTTTTTCACAAAAACAAAAGTTTAACCTCAAAAGAAAAACCTACATAGTTTTAACAACAAAAAAAATAAAAATAAATTGAAAACCGCAGAATAAACTGCTGGTTATAGTTTGTTTATAATCTCAAATAAGAGTGAAAAACATATCAAAAACCGAGACACGCGAGTTTTCTCCCCCAGAATTGCTCAACGCGCACATCATCACCACTCTCGTCCTCAGTCACGGGGAGTATTCCTGGAAAGTTGTCGCGAAACTGCTCTCAGTTTTGTGGAAGAGACCGAAGCTTATCCATCACCGCAGCAATCACGTTCCTACGGTTGAGGTAATTTATATATCCACTTTTGCTTCATTTAAATTAAATTCCGTTGGTGGGGGAGACCCAATTTTATACTAGCATCTCCTTTGGTTCTTCTATCATCTATAGGTGTACATTCTCAAACTACCTAGATTCGGTATCATAACTCATATCGTTTCTACTTTTTTGAGAAAACGGGTCTTCGAGTATCTAGGCATGGTTAATGGCATGATCAGTCTTGGTGTCTTACGATTTTTTGTTTGGACAGTCATTAAAAATTATAAAAAAAAGGAAAAAAGTATATGAACTCTATACTTACATCATTATAAATATGTATGTTCGGAAGAGAA